TATTTGCTCCCTTTGGCTCATCGCATGGAAGTTGAAACATTACACAGCATCTCTCTCTGTAAGCCAATTCGATAACGCCAGGGTTTGTTTGGGAGCACGACGGCTCCAGGGGCAACTCAGGGAAATAACAAGAGATGACGAAGAATGACTGGGGAGATAAATAGATGGTGCTGAGTGCGGGAGGGAAAAAAGAGAGAAATGAACAGATGGATAGACATGAAGAATCTGAGAGAGGAATGAGGGGACGCAAAAGAAGAAGAAGAAGAAGAAGTAGAAAAAAAAACTTGTTAATGCATCTAAAAGCACCGGAATGAGTTTAGGATAAAATCTATTTAAGTGCACTACTCTAATGATTAGAGCGAAAAAAGGAAATTAATTTAACATTAATTCAGCTCCTTCGTACATTTGCTGATTTATTACAGTCATTTTTATCAGTGTTAAAAAAAAAAGATTTCACTCAGAATTTTGGATGATTAGGTTCAGAATTTAAACAGCTGCTACAATAATAACCTATGTAACATACAGTCTATATTCTCCCTTTTTCTATATTGGTACAAATGTCTCTCCTTAATAATATCACTGCTACAGACTATAGTGTGAATACAGGACTCAGGTGGGTGGGTCATGACCTTGTCTTCCACCTGCTTAAGCCATCCATCATACTGAATGGGGGCAGCTACTGGCTGCATTGGGCTGTCTATCAACCTGAGAGGGAGGGGTCAGAGGTAACCGTGGTTCCCCATCTGGTTAGGAGAGCTACATCACGGGTGGTTGATGGGGTGAGAGACCAGCCACGCCCCCATCTTCCTTCATGATCAGAAACATTAAAAAGGGAATTTACCCCACCCACCCACTGCTACATCCCAGCGGAGACTGTGTGTGTGTGTGTGTGTGTGTGTGTGTGTGTGTGAGACGGTTGGGGGGGATGTTATGTTTGTCAAGACATGGTTTTTGAGGTAGACAGATGGGACCCCTCCCCTGTCTCTGTCATTCTCTCTCACTCACACAAAGCTAAGCTTATGATATTCCCCAACCCGCACCTTCACGTTTTACTTACCTTCAGTTCTGAGATGTCCATGTCGTGACCTTTGTAATCCTACCCTTTACCAGACTGGACAAGCATATGGAGAGGGAGAAAGAGAAAGAGAGTGATAGCAAGTGTGAGAGAGGGAGAGAGACGCAAACCAAAGAGCAGCAACACGAAAACAAACTCTAGATACACTTAGCACCACGTCACCGTCTCATCAAATCTGCAAAACCCTGATCTCTCAGACACTGTCATTCATGTGAATTCGTAAGGAGATCTCAGTGCGGAAGTGTAATCTGTCGCAGTGTATCAGATGCAGAACATTCACAGAGCATGTTCAGAACTGATTGCTGAATGCCACCTGCGATGATGGACTACTCTGATACGGTCTACATCAATTAGACTGCAGCCATCTTACCTGTCATGTACTTGCAAAGCAAGCATTTCAGTCTGCTCTAGGACGTAATGGAGGTTGCCACTCTTGGTGTGTAATTTGGGGTGTGTGTGTGTGTGTGTGTGTGTGTGTGTGTGTGTGTACATATACACAGACCACTGCAACTGCAGTGTCAGCTACCGCTAAGATCAAAGCAGCAGCAATGGCTCATTTTATATGCCTCTGGCATTCCTCCACTTATACACACACTCAAACACAACTCCAGATAAAAAAAGGGTACTCTAATTTAGATGCATCAAACACATTTAAGCCAGAAGTCCAGCTTGGAGGTGGTCCAAAAAGTTAGGGAGTGGATTACAGGGGTCAGTGTTTCTTCTTTTTTGCTGAATGATATATGGCTGTTAACTACATAGTTATGTAGCACAATTATATTTACTGGAGTACACTCTGTCATGAGATCTTATTCCCCTGGTTTAAAAAAAGAAGAAGGTGTATCTACAGTATGTAGATAGATAGATGTAGAGACATATTTGCAGTATGTATGTACACTACAAGGTCCAAAGTTTGTGGTCACCTGATCACAAAACATATATGTGCTTTTTGAACATCTCATATGGGATGAATCCCCCCTTTGCTGTTAAAATATCCTTCATTCTTTTGGAAAGGCTTTCCACTAGATTTGGAAGTGTGGCTATGGGGATTTACCCATTCAGTCACAAGAGAATTAGTGAGGTCAGGCGCTGAAGTTGGGTGAGGAGGCCTGGGGTGCAATCAGCGTTTCAGTTCATCCCAAAGTTGTTCACTGTGGTTGAGGTCAGGGCTCTGTGTAGACCACTCGAGTTGTAAAAACACTGACTTATTCTGATCCAGAGATTCCTATCCTGGGAACATTGGGAGAGAGGTGGGAACAAACCCTATTTGGGGCGCAGGACACCATGCACACACACATTCACCTTGACGCATGTCTTTTGCTAAACCCAGAGGAAACCCATACAGGCACAGGGATAACATGCACAGAAGCTCAGCATAGACAGTAACCCAACTCAGGATCAAATCTGGAGCTGTGATGCAGCAGTGTGGTCTGTGACATATTATAACCATATTACACAAGCTACATACCTACACAAGGAGCCAAAATGTGATTAAACTATATATATATATATATATATATATATATATATATATATATATATATATATATATATATATATATATTATTATTTTTTTTTATATTCCCTATATTTTCTTTCAAAGGTCTGCACACCCCACCTTGTGCCCCGGGTTCCCTGAGATTCCCTGAGGTAAAGAAGATGGATGGATGGATGGATGGATATATGGATGGATTCAGTCTGCACATGTAAGATATTCAGACTTGTTATAGATTAGTCTCATTTACAATGAGTCATTTCTTGTTTGACAGTCAGTGACCTCCTGTGTAAGCCAACCCTTGAAGCTGGAATTGAACAGATGCCTTAAAAAGACCAGACACAGGTGACTATACTATTTGCTGTGACTATTACTTATTTTCTAATTCCATACATATTGAGGGTGTGCAAATCTGGGGTTGCCAGATTAGACTAGATCAATCAGAACATTCCCAAATTACAGCTAAACTTAATTTTATCAATGAACATGTACACAAAGTTATTTGTTACACAAAATTAAGATTAACTGGTATTTGAGACGCAATCTGGGACAGTGGTGGGTAAGTGTTTAATGCTTTAAACTACTGATCAGAAGGTTTTGAGTTCAGTCCAAAGACATGTGTTTGACTGGATTGGAAAGACAAGGCTGACTGGCATCTCTAAATTGTCTGTAGTGTGTGAATATGTGTGTGAGTGCAATTGTGCCCTGTGATGGGCCCCCAAGTCCCCTGATATATATATATATATATATATATATATATATATATATATATATATATATATATATATATATATATATATATATATATATATATATATATATATATATATATATATATATATATATATATATATATATATATATATATAGAGAGAGAGAGAGAGAGAGAGAGAGAGAGAGAGAGATAGATAGATATAGTATATGCTGTATAAAATGTTAATGTTAGCAATGAAGCAATAACAACAAATATCAATAAGAACAATACTAGCATCAGTAGTTATAATGACAATGGGACTCACTGATCCATACTTTAGTTACGTTTTGTGTAAATGTTTGCAAGCTAAACTGCATTTGCATTTAGTAATGCCCACAAAACTCCACAAAAAGGTCGAGTGCACAGAGGGCTGGAAACACAAAACGACAACTTAAATGGTTGAAAGAAAGGGCAGAAAGAATTGGAAGTTATTTTGACTCACTTCTGTGCCAATAAAAATATTTAGCAGTAACAGCACCTGAAAAGGTCAAAATCTACAGACAAAATTACAGAAAGGGTGGATGAAGTGTGAAATCTGTAACGTGACAAGAAAATCATGAAAAAGGAGGAGAAAAAAAAGATCTGCACTGTTCCCAGGTGATCATGGACACCATGCAGGTCACACAGGGATACAGCTATTTTTAAATGTCTTGGACGACCTGCTGGATCTAAAGTGTTGCACAGCATTAAAGAAGATGCCATGGCAAACAGAGCTGATTTATAAGCCGACTGTTATCCTTCAAAAAACCATACTGGTCTTTAAAAATCCTTTCTCTCATACGTATGACCTGCGCTAAATCTCCTGTCAGCCGAGGTATTTGTTTATGGCTTAAGACAGAGCAGCCTGTCCTCCGTTTATACAACAGCGTTTATTTTGTAATAATTATTTGTCTTTATGTATAGGTTTGTTTATGTATAGGTTTGCTTCTTTATTTCATATTTTTAAATGAATGCCAATAAAATACACATGACTGAATTGGTTATTTTTGCTCTGGATAAGGGCGTCAGCGTAAACATGATATGCTGTAAACATAACGCTGTAAACATAATAAAAACAAGCAATTTAAATGTAACAGTATATATTCCATATACAAAAGTGCAGCAATGTGTGCAAATGATATGATTTGAAGTCGATCAAGTCGAGATTTACAATTGTTCGTGTGTAAATGTACACACACTCGGGAGCACGAGTAGGATATGAACATTTTTCCGGGAATTACGGGAGATTCATGAAGACCAAGTCTCTTGTGTAAATGCTATGAACAATTAATGAATAAGAAAATATAAGATAATGCTTTATTAATCCCCAGATGGAGAAATTAGAATAAATCTGTTTGTATCCAGCTTGATAAATGAGGCACATTAAAAGTAAGAACACTAAAAATACACAACAACAGTAAACATTCATCTTCTATACCGCTTTATCCTTCTCAGGGTCACGGGGGAACCTGGAGCCTATCCCAAGGAGCATCGGGCACAAGGCAGGGTATACTCTGGACAGGGTGCCAATACATCGCAGGGCACAATCACATACACACTCACACACCCATTGATACTGTACGGACACTTTAGACACACCAATCAGCCTACCATGCATGTCTTTGGACTGGGGGAGGAAACCGGAGTACCCGCAGGAAACCCCCACAGCACGGGGAGAACATGCAAACTCCGCACACACAGGGCCACGGTGGGAATCGAACCCCCGACCCTGGAGATTTGAGACGAACATTGCTAACCACTAAACCACCCTGCACCCCAACAGTAAACAAACAAAACAAAATATAGTACCAACATTAACAACAGTACTAATAGTGGTAATAATAGAAGGATTGGATGTTGTGGGTTAAGAGGTTGGGTTGAGGGTGAGATTTAATTATATGTAGATCTAGCCATATGTTCCTGGTTGTACACTATAGCATGGCTTGATGATCGACCAAATTCAGAAACAGTATTTAGCTACATTACAGTGCTCAATGATTTATCATACCATCTTGCCAACGTCCAGTGGAAAAGCACTATTCGTCACATGATAAGGTCAGTGATTAGTATTCTACTCCAGGCACAATGAGGCATTTGGTTAGCCTGGGCCTTACAGCAAGATACTGCTCATACAGACCTCTGCTATGATTTGAAAATGGAAATATGTTAATGATTTAATAAATCTTTTCCCAACCAATTTAAAGTTTCTCCCATAAAACTGGGCGCGCGAACACATTCAGAAATTGTCTTCCATTCCTTTTCAATACTGTTTCTTTCATCCTCCGTACCTGTGTGTGGATGTGTGTGTCTCCGTGGCCACAGCACAACTGTTCCGTGACTGTAGATAATGACAGGACCCGGCGTAATTAGCCCGCAGTAAACAATTAACACAGCAGAACCATTTTAATGCAAATCACCAAGCCTCACGATAACCACGCACAATGCAGTCCAAATACATCCACACTTAATGTGATCACCCTCCAGGTTAGTGTTAGTGTGTGTGGGGGTGAACTTATTTGTCGACATTTTTAATTGTTATTTTCCCCTCCTCTGTTTGCCCACCTCCATTGAAGCATCTGAACAGGCATGGCGATAATGAGTTCATCTCTAAAGCCTGGCATCACAGCCAAACGGAAAACAGACGTTTGAGTGTATGGACATCGTGTGTGTCTATCTTCCTTCGACAGTTGTTTGTGGACTGTGAAGTCGAACCTTAATCACTAAGTCTTCTGCCTGTAATTATGCCATCGTTTTCTACCTCCCTTCCGCCCTTCTTCCCCTCCACTTTCCTCTGCTTCCACACTGATTCGCTGTTTTATCTCTAAATGATCATCCCACGGCCAGTTCTGCCTTTCATTTACAGCAAATAAAATATCTTTCATTTGCTCTCAGGATGAAATTTGAAAAGAAGCTGCATGAGTGTTATAAATGGAAGCATTTCATTTCCTGGAAACGGACATCATCTTGCAGTGACTTGATTTGATTCAGGAGCATGGCGTAATGTTTCCATTCTGCAAGTCACTTAAACATCTCTCTTTGAAAGGAGCCCTTTTCCACTTTACACAGGAACGGCTGGCAGCAAAATCAATGAGTATTGTTTCATTGGCCATAACATTTTTGCATTATGCAGCAGAGAAATGCTTTTGAAGCCATCAATGTGCGTGCTGATGAAAGGAAGGTTTAATCATTTAATAGAGCCACTTGTTTCCTTGAGCGAGTTCAGATGTTACAATTTACTTACAAATCCCTCTCCAGCCCCAGCCCCACCCCAGTGTCCCCGGTCTTTATAGTCAGAATCACTGACTACGTTTACATGCTGCAAAAGTGAACCCCGTTTGCAATTGATTATGCAGCAGCAGAACATTGAAGTGAATGTGAAAGAGAGATGAGAAAAGAGAGGAATTGTTAAGTGGAGTGAAAGGAGAGACAAGGCCTTTCCCAGTAAAGCTGCAGAGGGGAGGGGAAACTATGGAAGAGATGAAGAGAGGAGAAATCTGAGAGACGGCAATAAACAGAATCAAAGATGAATTAGTAAATGTGAAAATTGTTCACTGTAACAGTACAAAGGGATGTTGATCCATCTGTGAGCATAAAGCCCTGAGAATTAATTGTCATAATTCTTCAAACGAGAATAGGGACACTTGTTCAGACTCCCACACACTGGAGCGCACGCAAGAGGCTTTTACAATAAACAGGATCTTTCCAACTTTTGAGTGGTATTGCTTTCTAATTTTATCTCGTGTTTTATCTCTTTATCTCCAATTAAGCTTCTCATAGTCTTCTGTTTTCTCCCTCACCCCCCCATTCTTTCTGTTCCCTCTGCATGTCTTTCTCCATGTGCATCTCCGACTCTGTTTCCAGCTGCTCCCTGCTCATTGCTTCCCCCTTTGCTCCCTCCTTCCTCCTCTCCTCCCTTCTCCTTTCACCCTCCTCTCCTCTCCTCTCCTCTCACTCTCTCTTTCGCCCCGCCTCCTCTGCCCACTCCAGATCAAGAGCTGGTTCCTTCTAATTAAAACCCTTAATCAAGCTCCTAATTAGCCTAATCAGAGCCTTGTAAATCATTTCCGCCTCTCTCCTCTTTCCAAGACCCAGACCAAGGGGTTTTTATCAAATCATTCACTCCGTTTGAATGCAGCCAAATGCATTAGAGCTGATCTGCAGTGCGGGGAAGAAGGGGTGAGCCATGAGAAAAAGATGCAAGAAGTAGTTGATGAATGGAAGAGATTTGAAGGTCTGGTGTTTGGTTGAGTGTTTCTGCTAAGGTTCAGGCATCCTGAGCTGTTTATTTTTGAGTCATTCAATAGAATCTAGCTTTTTTGAATGAAGCTTTTACTGCTACTTTTGAAGATATATTTTAAAACATCTTGATTTAGAAATGTGTCCATGCTGGGATTCTGTGTCTGCTTGTACCTTGAGCAGTTCTGATGATGATGATGATGTGGTTGGCTGTTTCTTTGATAACGTTCTTTCTGTGTGAAGTGGGGTAGTGAAAGAGAATTGATGGTCCTTCAGATGAGGAGATCTTAAACTGCATGCATCTGTCTCATTCTGAATCAATCTGACTCAAGCTGTAGGATTTAAAATGTTTAATATTTTTGAATCAGCATACTTTCTAGAATGTGAAGATCTTTACATTTATTTAAAATTAGTTTGTACTGTAGGGGTTCAAATCCCGCCTCTGCCCTGTGTGCGTGGAGTTTGCATGTTCTCCCCATGCTTCGGGGGTTTCCTCTGGGTATTCTGTTACTCTCCCAGTCCAAAGACGTGTTGTAGGCTGAAATTGGCCTTTCCAAATTGTCCGTAGTGTGTGAATGTGTGTGCTATTGTGCCCTGCAATGGGTTGGTGTCCCCTGCCTTGTGCCCCAAATTCCCTGGGACAATCCCCCCCCTGCTGCATTCTCGAACCTGATTAGTTAAAATGTGCTGATTAATTTTCTGCAAGATAAATCAGCTGTTTATATTAGTGTTCTTGTTCTATTACATTAGTTTCCATAGCAACAACTTGTACAATGACTTGTATGCCGGTCACTCCACATAAACAGATTTATGTGTAATTGTTGATATAGTAAAAAAAAAAATTATATATATATGTGTATGTGTATATATAATATATGTGTGTGTGTGTGTGTGTGTGTGTGTATATGTATGTATGTATGTATATATATATATATATATATACACATACACACACACACACACACACACACACACAGAGATACATGAGAGGAGGCATTTAAGTAGTCTTTGTTACAGTCAGAGGTAAAGCTGTAACTTTAGGTTGTCCAACATGATAAGCCACATATTTTGACTTCAATAGAAAATGGGAAAACAGTTGTTTATAGCTGTTATAATGTAAGTGAATTGTTTCAGGGACATTAACTGTACAGTAACTTTAAAAAGAATTAGAGTATATGTTGTTCATTGTTTGTGTTGGCGAAATGCTGTGGTATAAGGAATATAACACTTCGGGACAGTCAGCTATGCTATGCCAAGTTTCATGTTTCATATTATGTCAAGTAACAGCACCCCATTGGTGATTATTTTCATATAACAGCATTCCCTACAGTGTTTAATTCCTTACTTAATCCAATCATTTTTATATATATAAAAAAAAAACTCTCTTGAACTCTAAATCCATGTTTCTTCTGTTTCTTCGTCTGTCTGTTCCTCGAGCAGATTATATTTCTGCTCTTCTGCTGTCTTTTTATGTTGAGCAATGAGAATCCGTTTGCATTGTAAAGAATGCAATGTCACAGAAATGAAGTCTCTACGTATTCTACATTTACAAAGCAGTTCTTCCTTTCTGTACCGCTTATCCTACTAAGGTTCTGGGAAGCCTGGAGACTATCCCAGGGGACTCAGGGCACAAGGAGGGGGACACCCTGGATGGGGTGCCAATCCATAACTGGGCACAATTCTCTCTCACACACACACACACACACACACTTATTCACACACTATGGAGTATTTAGAGATGCCAATCAGGCTACAATGCATGTCTTTGTACTTGGGGAGGAAACCGGAGTACTCGGAGGAAACCCCTTAGACACAGAGAGAACGTGTCATGTCCCCCCCCGTACAATATTGATCTTTATTTATAATTTCCAAACATCTCACGTGATCATGTATCCCATGTCTAACAGCTGATTGCATACGAGTACAACTAGTCTAGCCGTGCTTCTGTGTGTTGTTTCTAGACAGCCATTGAGGCAGTTCATGAAGCAGTCTATCTTGATGCTTGGCACTGATAATTTCATTGTAGTAGTTTATGTGGGTGAGAGCAGCAGGGCGGAAAGCTTTGTGCACAGGTCTAAATGGAATTTCATTGCCTTTAATCTATGGAATACAGTGATAATATATTTGTGTATTATAGTGTGCACAATGATCTAGATTGTTTATTTTACATACTGTGACATTTTCACACGTTGAGCTTAATGCCTTTGGTGACTTTCTACCTGCTATAATAACGTGGATTAAGCGTAATATCTGTGCTGCTTCCATTATACTGCCCAGTCGACTCTCCTGGCTGTTCGCAATACTAACACCATATGTCAAATGATCTCTCAACCTAAAGCAAGAGCCATAGGAACTCAATAACTTAAATCCACTTATATTGTGAGTATAATCTAATTGCTATGACCAGGAGTAATATACACTGTGGAGTGTGGACTGGCCCATGCAATAGCTAATGGTTGAAATCACACAGTTGTTACTGATAGCAGTGCACGTGGAATGAACGTTATAATGGATTCCGAATGCAATTCAGAGTTTGGA